TTTTTCGCTGGATAAATAAAAACCGCACGAAATCTCCAATATAGCCGACACTTCTGCGTGGGCGTGGCCAAAACCCGTCAAGGAGGGTTATTTTTGTTGTTGCAGAGATTTTTGTGCTTTCTGCGTATAAGTCTCGCTCTTTAGCAAGAAACAGCTGTGCTCCTTCAAAAAATGCTCCTGAAGTCCGTTGGGGAAATTTCTACAACATTTTGACGTCTTTTTATAGGCCTTCAAAATAAATTTGTTCCTAATTATTAGCTTTTTTTTCGAAAGCCAAATGACGAGAAAGTACAGTCGATATCTCGAAGTCTGATTGGGCGTGTCACCGGAAATGACGTGGCAGCCACCGCACTTGATAGATGTGTGGATAAAATACTCCGCCAGATATCAGCAAAGCGTGTTGGAAGCAGCTTATCCGCGCAACTTCTATCAAGTGCGGTGGCTGCCACGTCATTTCCGGTGACACGCCCAATCAGACTTCGAGATTTGGACTGTAAAAGTGTGTTGAACCTAAAAGAAGTATTTCATTTGAAATGAATAAATTGCGAGGGTGGTCCCGAAGAGTTTTTGAGAGGAGTGATAGCACACGACTGAAGACTCAGCCCTCTGGAATGCATCCTACTTGGCAGCCTCCTCTCTCGAGAAGGAAAGGGAGGGGGGTTAGTCGCTAGAGACTTGCTAACAGACCACGCAAAGAGAAACCAAGAGGGTGAGGGATGCGAGAGGAGCTATGCATACGACCCAATATCTAAATGCGGATTACTGGGATCTTTGCTGGGTACGGTATCCTTTGCACTGCCGATTACGCAACTGGGAACTCTTGGTAGACCCCGTTTGAATCTGTGAAAGAATAAATACTTTCGAATTCATTTGTTTTTGCTAATATAATAATTTATAATTTTGATAATATAACAAAAACTTGCTAACAATTCTGATGTGTTCCATGGATCGTGATGCTAATATGCTTTGTTTCGTCACATGTGTTAATTACTGAGGTGTAGTTCTATTTTTACAATTCTTGCTGTATGTCTTTCTCACGATTGCCTTATGCAAACGTAATAAATAAATAAATATAAAATAAAATTTTAAGTTTTATAAACACTCGAAAACCTCAGACTGGCAAAATGCAATAGAAGCAAGTTGATCAGAATAATAAAACTGTTTAATTGTAATCATTCAATTTCAGTGCTCCTCGCCCACACCGAGAACAGAAGTGTCATGAGAACAGAGTCCTATCGTGTGATATTTATAGAGGAAATAAATAGTTGAGGATGTGATATAATAAATAAAATTACACTTATGAGAGCGAGCAAGCTGGCACGATTACTAGTAAGAAAGACTTACAAAATACAGTTAAATAATATTTTCCAAACAAAATTCTTGGAATCATGGCCACAGCTTTATCCTCGACATCCACCTCCAGGGCATCCTCCACCACCACCCATATCTCCTCCATAGCCGCCACCGCCATAGGGGCTTCCGCCGTAGCCGCCGCCATAGTCTCCTAAACAGCTGACAGTACTGAAAAACGCAAGAGGAAAACTGTTACCACAGAGAACTACATCCAGAGTGCACCATCTGTGTGAGTTCTGTTTGAAATTACAGAAGCATCCGAATGATTTATGGACCCATAGACTTCAGACGAAAGCCCAAATTAAGGCCCAGACATGTTTTTACCCTCCTGAGCCGGTGAAATCTTACCCTATAGAATAGAAAACTTCCATCGCTTACAGAGTCTGATTCCTAAAAGTCGTGTGAATACGACAGACCTTCAGCCAGCACGTTACTCTTCTTCAGCTACTAACATGAAAATTGTTCAAAAAATCCAAAAGACCTTACCTCCCATACCACCGCCGCCCATGCCACCTCCGTAGCCTCCGTAGCCGCCACCATATCCGCCCATATTTCCTATAACAAATATTGCTCTGAAATTTGGTAACACATGAAGATCAACCAGCAAACAAAAGAAAACAGGAGAGTGTAAAGAGAATGCCGCTGACCTCCCATTCCGCCACCAAAACCGCCACCGCCATATCCACCATAACCATCACCTCCCATTCCGCCGTATCCTCCTCCCATCATTCCTCCACCGCCTCCATATCCGCCTCCATAGTCTCCACCTCCGTAACCACCATTCATACCTGAAATGAAATGCATTACTCAACAGTATGAAGCAACAGCGATACAGGAGGAAACTTACCACCGTATCCTCCTTGTCCGCCTCCCATTCCACCATAACCACCACCGCCGTATCCTCCATAGCCGCCATAATCGGGGCCTCCTCCATAGCCACCGCCACCGTAACCTCCACCATAAGGACCGCCACCTCCATAGCCTCCGCCGAAATCATCGCCACCACCACCGTATCCTCCTCCTCCCATTCCTGCAAGGAGCACATAAGCAACATGATTAACGACATTGTTTGTGGGAAATTCAGAAAGACTGGAAATAGAATTCACCGTAGCCGCCATTAAATCCATTAAATGCTCCTCCACCCATTCCACGTCCAAACGATCCATATCCACCGCCGAAGCTCGAGAAGGCATCTGGAAAGAGATTCAAGAGCTTGAATCTTTGGTGCTTTCAACATTTATCACAAACTTCTTCGGCGACCTCGCATGTCCTTCGCAGCAATGCCTTTGTACTTTGCTGTCAGCTCGGCGTCATCGCCTTGTAGTTTCGCAAACTATAACATATAGGTTCAATAGCACTACTTCAATTTGTTCAGGCCTTTGAGACCCAATTCATCAAAACAGTAGTCTTTCTAAAAAAGCTGACTGCAGTGTGCAAAGTTGAGCCCTTCACGTCGGATTAAGCTCCACGGCTTTAACCACATCGCATCAAAAACTCATATACAATTGAATAAGAAGTCATTAAGCGTAGATATCCTTGGATGATAGAAAAAGTAACGATTACTTCCGCTGGTTTGCTTGAAATGGATTTTATAATGTGAAGCAAACCTAGGAACGCATGAATGGTCGGGAACGTTGTGTTCGTTTAGAATCTCTGGATTGAGACGACCTAGCAGCTTATGGTTAGCCTACGACTCACCATTGTCAAATGTAGGTCCAGCGCTCACTCTACTTGAAGCAACACCTGAGTTTTCCAAGAGGCCCGTCGAGTAAGAATTTGGTATGTGCTATGATAAAAACCGGCGGAATCCCAACAAATACCGTGATTCCATTGTACTGCATCAGAATATCACGCATTCCAGGAATTGTTAGATTGCGCTCCTGAAATTGTTCAAGAAATGCCATACAGCGCCTATAGCTAATTCTATTCTCCTCTCTCAGAAACAATTTCAATTAGCATTACGACTCCTACGCACAGACAGTCGAACACGTCCCCTACCGAGGATAACCGCAACTGTTGAATCAGACTGCAAAAAAACCCTTGCAGCAACGAATGGAACATGTCCCAAGCCCGATGAGTATCCACTCCACCAGTACTCACAGGCTAAGCTGACAATCACGAGACAGCTTCACCGAAATGTAGCTCCACGCGCCACAATGTGCGAGCCGAACCGTTAGAAAAGACCACACTCAGGTCCAACGTTCTTGGAGCTTTGTCCAACGACAGAGTGGGGCGTACGGAGGGATGAAAAGACGGGGTCCCGATTTTGCTAGTTGGCGTCAATGCAGAGCGATTATGTTGTTGTTTTGAGCTGGATTCTGAGTGCAAAAAGTAAGTGTAAAAATTGAAATTTTGAGCCGTTCACATTCGAGAATACCCTCTTATATCCACACCGCTCGAAGGAATTTTGGAGGAGAAGGGGCGAGTCGGCTGGGTGTGACTGGTCCTCAGATATCATCCAGATCACTCAGAATCAAATACTATAGAATCGCCTCCATGATGGCGATGGCAGGCGAGGGTGGTGGAGGATGGTCGTGAAGGGTTAACCCTGAGGGGGGTCGTATCGAGGCCCTCTAGAAGGGGAGGGGGTGATAAGTTTTCGAAATGGTCCAACAACGTGACGGTTGACCCTGCACTATTGCTCGATGCCCTTCCAACTTTCATGTTCGCAGTGTTTTTTTTTTCTGTTGAAAATAATATACCAAGCTGGACAATTTCCAACGATGTCTTTTGACTTTGAAAGTGCTGATTAGCAGTCAAAAGCTCAAGAAATGACATCGAATCGCTTCAAGGAGTTTGAGCATATGAAAATTTGAAAGGCTCACCTCAGATACTTGACCTCCTTCGACAGCCGTCTGTACCTGTTCGGCCATCGTAGGTGATTTAGTGCTTGGAGAAGGCAGAGCGGTGGCAACAGCCGCAAGCACGAGAAACATGCTGAATAAAAACATGCTAAATAAAAGTTTATAACATCACTTAGAGCCAGTAAGTTCAATCATGAGTAAGTTTCCGAGCTGCAACACAAACTTAAAAAAAGTTGGGTAGGTTAGTCCTTGAGATAGCAATTCTAAAAAAAACTATTGATCAAAGTGCATTAGGGGCATTTGGCAAAAAGTGTTGGAGTGCAGCGGGAAAGAGAAATCGAGGAAGAAGAAAAGAGAATCGAAGAATAATGCATTCTTCTGAAACGTAGAGAAGGTGGGAAGTTTTTCGCCGGTCTTCCATTCACTGAATCGCCAAATTTTCTGATGGATGGGTACACATTCTCTTTTGCAGACTCGCCAAACCTTTCAAAACCTACGCGACCCTAGCAAAATTTTCGATGGATGAGGAGCTTTGTAAACTGAGAAAAGAAATGAGACCAGGTTGGACAGTGACCACGAGCGTATAACTTAATCTAAGATTCGCGCGCGGTTCCTCACGGTCCCAGTCACACTCTACGCTCTTGAAAAAGTAGGCTGAAGTCCTAGCATGTCGAGGTGTTTGAAGGAATTAGCAAATAAAAGCGCAACTCGCTACTGATTATAATTATCAGAACAACTGAGAAAGCAAGGAGAAACAATTTTCAAAGAGAGCGTAAAGAAACCTAAATACCGGGGTGGGGACAAGGGTTGACAAAGCATCCCATCAGTTGCCCAGGTAGACAGAACAAAATAGCAAATTGTAAATCCAAGAATGACTTCAAAAAATCATAATTTCATTCTTGAAACACTCACCTCCGTTTCATGCAGTCTCAGCGCGTTATGTACACACCTAAGCACCGCATTGTTCGGTTATATACGGACAGTCCTCGGGGCAGTCCCTTGACACCCGAGCGAGCAGCAGCTGTCATTTGCCGCCACACCATAACCATGCTATTGTTCGCCTGTTAATTCTATTTTAGTATGCGAAATGAACGAAAATAGTTGAAAAATCAGGGAACACCTGAAAATAATGGGATGAAACGGAAACTTTAAACCTTGTGTACAAATCGTGGGAAATTTTTTAGTCTCAGTTAACTCTGAAAAGTGTATAAACCTGAGAACGCAAAGCAAAATAATGAACGCAAATGAGACTCATGCTGAACGATGTAACCCTTTCTTCACTCCATACTAGATTTATTTCCTCTGTTAAGCTGTTATTATCCCTTTGCATCGTCTGTCGTCTGCCTTTAAACATTTCTGCCATAATTCCGTTATTTTCAAGCCAGCCAAAACTTTATGCAGTGTCCGACTGCTTATGGGAAAGAGTACATGTAGAAAGGACAACGCGAATAGAGTTGATCCGCTTACCGGACAGACTCCCTTGCAGGTATTACATCGTGAAATCCAAATCTAATATTTCAATCCATTCCTTGCTTTCAATAGATGATGGTCACCAATGCCAGAATTGACATACAATTGTCCCCTCTTTCAAAACAATCTTAAAAGGGGCAAGAAAATTGGTTTGTTATAGGGCTACTGCATGACTCGACGAGTCCATACCTCTCTTTCAAAAAACGAGAAGAGCGTCGGGTGCAGACCATACACCACAAGTGACGACGGCCTCCACAAAATGTAATGTTTTCTGCCAATGAAATGATTAGCCTGTTGCAGTTGTATTCTATCAGTTGTCACTAATTACAACTATCATTTACAAAATCAGCTATCACTATGAACCACTACTAACCAGATTTACTTGAAGGCTGTCGTCATTTGTGGTGTACTGTCTGCGCCCGACCCTTTTCTCGTTTTCTGAAAGGGAGAGTAACAAGGTCACGCAAAAACTGTTAAAACTATGGTTTAAGTCGATACATTCGCACAACGACTATGAAAAACTACATCGAAGCTTCAGGGAAAACTTCATTAAAAAATACAGAGAAAGAAGTTCATCAGAAATATATGATATCATCACTAACAATCACTTCGTGGTAATTTATGCAATATGAATGGTACACTGATAGCTTAGAAATATTCACATGAAAGATGACATCGTAAACAAAAACAACTGCATGCTATTGCAAATGAAACTAAACATTTTGAATCATATAAATCGACGAGTTCCCATTTGCTTTCTCAATGTGCATGCCCAGCAAGGTAAGGAAAGAACCTCGCATAGGAAATCGCAGGTCACGCGCAAAAGTTACCCGACCACAAATAATGAGGAATTTCCGATAAAATCTGAGATATGCAGTCTAACACCTTGTAGTTACCGATGAGCAGGAACACCTGACCGTGGAGCAATCTTCCGATTGAATCAGTCACCTTTTGGTTCTCCTCCAATTGACTGCGGCAAGTCTTAGCATAATACTATGGACAATGAAGTAAACCTCATCACTCAAAAACACCGGGCACGCTCGATAAGGTTTCCTTGTCGACATTGTCGTATGCTGACCCCCACAACCAGGCAGAGATGGGACAACCCATTCTGCATTCCCAACTCCAAGAAAAACTTCAACATGCAATCGTAATATAGCAAAGTAAGACTGAGAGAAGTCAAGTCATTAAGAGAGCATTAACACATGGCTGATGTCTTAAATGATGAAGCTATTCACAGATGTCAATGTTCAATGGAAGTTTAGAGTGAGTACGACCCCACTACATGCAAGATGGTTTACTCTAACAATTTTCACCCGGTTCCTACCATCTGTCTCTATAGTCCCATATTGCATCCAGTTCACCTTATCACATCCTCGAGGCTCACGTATATAAACTTCGCAGCTGTGTGATCGAGAGCTGTGGCGCCACAACTGAAATGAGCAGGACTAAAGCTATGAAGGTATGGGAGAATGAAAACAGTTGACGTACGGATATGATTCTGCAGAGGTCTTCCACATCGTAAAGGACTGGAACTTGCTCATAAGTCATTCCGAAAACTGACAACAGATTTATCATAGAGAAGAGGAAGTACGGAGAGGAAGAAACTCGGAATAGCCTGCAATAACGTATACCTATGGTAGACAAAAAAGTATTGAATAGCTAATGCGACACGTTTAGCTGGCTGCCTGCTCGCGATGCGTAAGACTTTGTGATTGAATAAAGGATGAAAGGGATAAAGCATTTGCCGTTGATCAATCCCTTTTTTTGGGATGCGGCACGCATTCTACTTCCATTTGTACATTCGTAGTGGCACCAACCTGCCATACCTCCGGAAACACTTGAATCCTCCCAGACAAGTCTGGTACCAATTAACCGACCCCGGAGGGATGGAAGGCTTGGTTGGCCCGGGCGACTCACGACCCAGGATTTGATCCCCGGACCGCTCGCGTGGTAAGCGTGCCACTTGCCACTACACCACTTCCGCCCCTTGTGATTGTATACTTACGTAAATGCTGCAACAGAAAAAAAATCTGGCCCTGTAATCAACGTGTCAAGCCCACGCAAGTTTATTCACTTCAGGAAAGTTTACATTTTGACAACTAGTGAAGCCGGCGTTCACGTTTTGAGAAAAAAGAACTCTAGTGAATAAAATAAAAAAGGAAAGTTGCATGAAATAGAAAAAATGATGATGAAATGATGATTGAAAAATGATTAATTGAAATAAAAAGAAATCAGGAAAGAACTATGACTAGCTATAGTTTGAACGAAAGCTAGAGGACAACGCGGTCTATATAGAAGAGCTTCAAAATTCGGTCCAGAGTATTCTCACGGAAAGTTAGACAATATGTGAGCACGCCCGTGATAACCGTGACGCTTTCAATATTCACTGTTGCATGTCACCATCTTGAAGGAAACTGCTTTCAAGTCGAAGAATATGAAAAAGGACCCTCACCTGGATGTTGCTAGCTGAACTTCCTTCAAATGTGGAACAAAGAGCCCGACGAGAGCAACAAATTCTTTCTCCGAGAAACTTCGCAAATCAGCTCCAGCAAATCGATCCCGACCGACCGCTACACTATATTACACCTGATCAATGTCCGGATAAAGTATAGATAAATACAGGATATTTCCGGCAGTAAGTAAAACGGTGAAAGAAGCAAAGAAAACTAGCTTGGGAAGACCAGCAAACCTTCAGTAAATGAACCACCGCTAAAAATGATAGCTTTGGGACAGAGTCGGTTCTCTTTAAATAAGCGGTAGATATCTGGCAGCCAATTAGTTACAGAGACGTTGTTTTCAAAATGAATCTTAAAAATAAGATATTAGAGGAAAGATGTACTCGAAATGCCACTTACCCTTAACTGGCAGCAAAGTATTGGTGGAAGAAGCTCTTGGATGGAACGAGAACAATGAGAGACGGCACCAACGGAACGACCACATTTCAGTACACGTGCATCTTCTGTTCCAGCATGTTTGTTAAAAGCAATGTACATGTCATGCAGGACAGACTGAATACAAGGATATAAAGCTGGGTGGTGAAGCCGCATCTCGCTGTGAAGTATAGTTATGAATAAGTGAAAGGTAGCAAAAAGACAGAAGAAACATGCATAAAAAGGTATAACTAGACAGACCTTCATTCTCGGCAAAGAAGTGATGTTAGCCAGAATGACTTCACGAATTCTCCGACACACCCGTGCGAAACAGGAGCAGAGATCGACCTGAAGAATCAGGCAGCAACTTATTCAACGAAAAATCTGAAGCCGCGATCAGAATAGCTGTCCGGCGATGATGGGATGAAACTTGTGAAACTTCGAGCAATAAGGGAAGGCTCCGCGTTTCAGCAGTTGCCCCACTACTTACAAGAAAAGGATCTAGGCCGCCATGGCCATTCAAGAAGAGATGTATACGCCTAGATGTGCCTTCGAACGCTGATCTCAAATCTACCTTCCAAATTGCTAAACGATTCTCTGAACGGAGTTATGAAGCAAAACAGCGCAACGGTAGTGGTCGGGACTCACAGTCAAAACGTCGTAGGATCGGCCCCTTATCGTAATTACTGTTTTGCGTTTCAGAGCTTCAGCTAAATAAACTATCAAAAGCCGGTTAGCTGGTGCGTGGTCACTAGGACAGAAAGCGACTTTTTCGCGTTTCGCAGCGCGAAACATTTTTCGCTGCGGGAACCCAGGTCCACTCATGATCAGCGGTGGACCTGAGGTTCCTGCAGCGAAAAATGTTTCGCGCTGCGAAACGCGAAAAAGTCGCTTTCTGTCCTAGTGAACCACACCCGTTTTGCTGTAGTCCTAAAGTATGGAAAACAGCATGTGACCGATTCAACGACGTTTGACTGTGAGTCCCGACCACTACCGTTGCGCTGTTTTGCTTCATAACTCCGTTCAGAGAATCGTTTAGCAGATTTGGAAGGTAGATTTGAGATCAGCGTTCAAAGGCACGGGCGTATACATCTCTTTTCTGAATAGCAATGAAGACCTGGGATCCTTCCCTTGTGAATAATATGGGGTATACATTTTTAAGACACAGTTTGGCACAAATCCGCCGAAGCTCGCTTCAAAAAGTCGCCCAAATCGCCGATTCTGAACGTGATTGTGTAGCAATATGATAACCTACCGTCCAGCTGTCGCACGATTCTCAATAATGTTGTCTCGTCGAGATCGAGTAGTCCTCGACGATCGAGTCGTATACGACCTGGAGCAGAGCGAACCGAAGCGAACATGCCTAATTTGGGAAGAATCGAAGATAGTTCTGTTCCAAGTTCCACCATCAAACTATTGTCACTGTAAGAACCCTACATTGAGATTCGAAAAACAGCCATCGGTACATTTTGCTTGGTTGTATTTAAAAAAGATGCTGATAATGATCCCCTTCACAATCGAACCGAATGAATAATGGAAGTTTCAATTGCAACATCCATTTCTCATACTTTTTCAGTTGGGAGAGCAGTATGAATCAATGGAGGTGAGCATGCATCAAAAGTAAGCTATTAACTAGGGTAAATTGAAAACGCAAACCAAATGGAAAATCTAATAAAATGAGTCTCCTCCCTAGTGATGATCGTCAATGTGTCAATTAGGTATGAGGGGCTGTAGGAACCACCCAGCCCGAACAATGCACTGAAAATAACTAGGCTTCCAACTTGTCAAAAATTTAGCTTTCAACTTCATCATTATAGGGTAAATCAAGTAGTTTTGGTATAACACTTGCCGGCTTGTCATGCACCGCTCCAGCCGTCTTTGTTGTCGTTTCATTTTATTTGCGAATTTCCTTTTGGCGAGAAGTACGAGACCACGCCTCCACTTAATACCCGTCTTCCTCAGTTCAAAAAGCAGAGAATTGGCCACGAATGATAAACGTGGAATGTTATGGCTGTAAAGTTCTGAAAAGGCAAATAAAGAAAAAAGAAAGAAAATAGCAGCAATCGTAAAGAACTTGTGGTGAAGTCAGAAAGATGCATACGGAAGACTTGTCAAGAAACTCACTGTCAACTCCTCTTTTCAGGAAATTTTAGAGAAATCTTGAAAAAACATATGGTTTTTGGCTTTGCCATAAAATAAGGACCTTATAGTGTCACCAACCGGCTGGTTCTCCCCATTCAGACCAACCGAAAATTGAACCGGATACTTCCTAGCTTACGGACGCAATAGCTTGACGAGTTCACGAAAATTCAAAATCAAAAGGTTACGCCATACGTCTCCTCACACGACTCTTCTTCGGGTGTGGTTCACTACGACAGAAAGCGACTTCTGCGCGTTTCGCAGCGCGAAATATTTTTCGCTGCAGAAACTCCAGGTCCACCGCTGATAATGAATGGACCTGGAGTTCCTGCAGCGAAAAGCCTTGCGAACGAAAAGCGAAAAAGTCGCTTTTTGTCCTGTTGACCCACACCCTCTCAGTGATCAGAAAGATTTTCAAAACCAATTGGCAGCGAACCACGAAAAAACGAAAAAATTTGGTACATTTGCGAACTTCGAGATGAACATGAATGAAATAAATGAAGACTCAATAATTATGAACCGAATACGATGCCAAATGCGAAGGGAGGTTTAAAAATCACTCACTGGCTTCCCAGTCACGTCTCCGCGCGTCCTCGGAAATCTGTCTTGCTTGTTCTATCACTTCTTCGATTTCCATAAAACGTCTTCTTGGAAGCAATGTATGGACCTTCAAATTGACAAATCCTAGAAGACTCGTCCTGTCCTCCCAAAAGCTTGACTTTTGTAGTCGAACAGCTTTTTAAATCTTTCAAATCAAAATTTCAAATATATAGATTTGAAAAGTTGTTCAGCTACAAAAAGACAAGCGTCTATGGGAGAACAAAACAAGCCTTTTGAGAGCGGCAAGAAGGAAAATACACAACAAAACAATAGAGAAATGATCTTAGGCTGTAGATGACAGCAATTTCGAGCGTCACCTAAAGGAAAATCAACCGCTGATGTCCAAACTTTCAGATAAAGAGCACCTATACAATAAAATGTTTGTTGCGAGGTTTATTTGTTTGTTTATTTATTTACTATGCAGTCCTACGTGCACTACAACAATTCTTCAGGAACCAAATCAGTTATATAAATCAGAAACATTGATTCAAAATAAAATGAAAGTATTGGATGGTTGCGGTCAGAACAATGCAGTTTGATGAGATTACACGAACCGATGTTCAAGAAAAAAACCCGTCAGCAGTGAACTTCAGAACGTGAAAAAATATATTGCGTTTCTGCACAAACACGCTATCTGGGGCGGTATTCAATCCTTCCCCCAGGGGGATATATCCCCCTACTCTGATTCAATCCTCTGGGGGGACAAAAAAGGGTTGCGTCATAGGACCTCGCATACCTCTGTGTTTCTACCTGCCAGACAGTTAGAGCAGCGCGACCCCTCAGGGGAAAGAGTGCTTCATCGTGGAGGTAGATGGTATGGTAGGTCCTATGACGCAACCCTTTTTTGTCCCCCCGGAGGAATGAATCAAAAGAGGGGATATCATTCTCCCTGGCAGAAGATGATACCGGCCTCAGGACATCTGTCCAACTCTGCGGTCCTCTTGGCGTTCAGCGTTTTGTAGTAATGTCTGGGAGCTCTCACCAGAAGTAAACACACGCACCGTGCCTTTCTTCATTATTTCTTCCCAAAGGGTGTTTAGTTCAATGCAGACACAAAGTGTGTGCTTTTCAAGCCTACGCTCTCACCCCTTGGTTGACAGAAGCTTTGTAACTGGTTTACTAGTAGGTGTAAGGACTCGAACGAGCTCCTTTGGCGGTGAATGTGAGAAAAATGTCGTGATTTGGCTTTAAAGGTAATCAAACCGCTCTACGAGTCCAAAAGTTAGCCCTCAAATGTTTAGCTTGATTATACGAAGTTATACGATTGGGAGGAACATCGAGCTTTTCAAGGTGGACACCTCAAAGTCTCACACTGCTGTAGAAGGGTGTGATCAAACGACACGATCAAACTCGCACTGGACCGTAATTGCGCCACATTCTACTACCGTGACCGGACAACTCGTCCACTCACCATATTCCATTTCGCTCCTGAGGGCGCATGCATAGTGGGTCGTCCGACAGCAACGATCGTAACGGTCGCACAGCATTAGATACGTATCGATCGTCGAATACTCAGGCAAGTCTAACCGATCGATACGCATCTTAATGCCGTGCGACAGTTACGATCGTTGCTGTCGGACGACCGACTATGCATGCACCCACTCGAGTCCTAGGAAACGGCAGGTATGCTGGTCCTATGACAAAAACCTCTCCTTCTTCCCCGAACGATAGACCAATAAATAGGACCAACGGCGGGAAGCGGTTCCCCCGAGGGGGGGTTAGATTTGGCCTCAACCTCTACCCTTGCTACCGTTTCATGTTCTGGATTTCTGAGATTCGACAGTTGATCAGTTGCTGAGGTAGTATTGGAGTGATGTCGGACGGAGTAGTACGGCAACAGTAGAATGTGGCAATTTTCGGCTGCTAACTTAGTTGGGGGGGGGGGACCACGCGGCGGCGCGGCGCTTTGCTCGCCTGGCACCTTTGCGTACTTCGGGAAATCCGTGAGCCAGGGGGACTGTAGGCAGTCTAGGGGGTGGGGGGTGAGGGCAGTCACTTGACATGCGTGAAAAGCTGGAATGTTCGAGTTCACACTGTCTCGCTCGAGAGAGCGCCAGGCGAGCAAAGCGCCGCGCCGCCGCGTGGTCCCCCCAACTAAATTAGCACCGCAATTTCTGTTTCTTATCTACGAATACATACCCCCTTCAAAAAACGGGAAAATGTCGGGTGCAGAACAAGTACCACAACTGACGACGGCCTCCAAGTAACTTTGGTTAGAAGTCGTTCACAGTGATAGCTGGTTTCTGGTAAATGATAGTTGTAATTAGTGACAATCGATAGAATACAACTGCAACAAGCTAATCATTTCATTGGCAGAAAACATTAACATTTTGTGGAAGCCGTCGTCATTTGTGGTGCATGGTCTGCACCGACACTTTCTCGCTTTTTGAAGGGGAGGGTAAGCGTAGTTCGAAAGCATCATACTTCATGTGAAGCAATATTTGTTCCTGTGGAGAATCACACCCGACATGGACAGAGTTGCCGGAAATGCTTCTGCTTTGAGATGTGCCATGTACTCGTTTTTGATTGAAAATGGCAGGAGTCATTTGCAGATGTAAACCCCTCAACTTGCTGCGCGAACCGAAGTTACTGATTTTAAATTCAATTGCTGTCACATAAGCTTAAAAAGAGCTGCGAGCTTTGTATCTCTGTCATCTGGGACTATGTAAAACGCTTGAATGTAACGACTATATGGATTGGATGGGTCTCTGAGCGGAGACTTGAGGACGTTCACGTGGCCCAAAAATGTGAAAAAAATCAGAAAAAAAGTCGTAAGAAACCAATAAAACCACGCGCCCCTCTTTTTGCCTATTTCTCTCTTCAGGACAGTCAGTCGCCCGAGACAGCTGAGTGTTGCTGCTAACCGTACCCCTTTAACAGGCACCCATCCAACCATCGCTCCTAGTCAAGTTGCTGCCAACTGTGCGCGCTAGGCAACATGCTCGTCCAAAATACCATCTGAACTAATGGGTGGATCGCTTTTTGGGGCGGAGTGCTTTCGAAGCCCCGCTCAGCAGCCAGCACACCGTTTCCTCGCAAAAGCCCCACATATCCCTTCCTTGGCAGCCGAGTACATAACTGCTTCGGGTGGCCCACACACTTCCCGATGTGCTCCCTCTTTATCGTAGCCGCTTCCTTCAACCATCGCTATGCTGCTCTATCCATGAAAACCTCCATGTAGTGATGACACTGGTTGCATGACAACCCCCCCCCTCCGTTAGACCATGTATCGACCTCTCCTAGTTGGACTTTGATGTACCAATTGAACAGACTCTGTAATTGCACCAGTGACACATAGTACCCATAGCTTGACGCTAAAGCTGGGAAATTCTTTCAATATCCAGCATACTCGAAGGACAATGGCCTTTCAGGTGAGTTGTGGTACCTAAGCTTGTAGCTTTACTCTATCTACTCTACCAGCAGCGGAAATGAAGCTTTCCCATTACATTACTGGATCCGCTTCCTGCCCATCGATGAAAACTACGTGAACTGCAAGCAACTTAAAGCAACAGTTCAGGAACGGTTTCGCGGGAAAAAACCACCAATAATGAAGTTGTAGATGAAAACCAGACGATTAATGTATGAAAAACTGGAAAAAAACGTCGGGGAGGGTCTTAGACAGGTACTCTCCCTCTGCCGCTCAGCAATGGATAAAGACGCACGTTGGACGAGTTGTCTGAACGTGCCCGCTGTAAACGCGCTCCATTTTTCAATCAATTTTCCCTGTGGTCCCAAACGAGCACGATTGCCGACGCGTCCAATGACGGCCGGCAAGGGGGCGGGATTGGGGAAATCCCCAAGAACACCCATGTTTGAGGGACTTTCCACCCTGTTTTTGAGTTTCTGAGGTAAGTTCGTTTATTATTTCCACTGCATATGTTCTTCACTAGGGCTCGTGTATCCCTCAGTAGTAGTGGCATTGAAATTTTCGGACCCTCCCTGAACTGTTGCTTTAAACGTTGCACGTTTCAATTCACTGTATCTGATTTTTTAAAGCCTTTTTTCCTACCCAAGTGCTTCAATTCATTCGCCACTCAGCATAGTGACTACCCATCCAAATAGCACGATTCAGAAAGATTGGGCCAGTAGGTCTAACTGAGCCTGTCTTCTTTGCAAGAAGCATCAAGGATAAAAGCTTGATTGTAAAGAATAAA